GGTAGCAGCTCAAGAGAAGGAGCTCAACCTGATGAGTCCAAGTTGGAATCTCAGAAGGAATCTTTTGGCAAAAGGGAGACCAGAACCAATAACAGGTGGCCTAAAATGGATCTGCCAATTTTTTATGGTGATAACCCAAGGGCGTGGATCAGGAAGGCTAACAAATACTTCAAAATACATGGAATAGAAGAGGACATGAAGGCTGAGATGGCTGAGCTCTATTTTAGAGACAGAGCAGACATCTGGTTCCATGGAGTCTTCCATGGTAGAGAGGCGATTCCCTGGTCAGAGTTATCTACTGCTCTGAGTATCAGATTTGGAGAAAGGAGTCCAAAGAAAGCTATTGAAGAGTTCAACAAACTGGTGCAATCTGGATCCGTGGCTGAATACCTTGAGAAGTTTGAGATGCTCAAAGCTCTGGTAATGCCATCCTTGCCCTATTTATCTGACTCTTACTATAAGGCATGCTTCATGAGTGGATTGAAGGAAGAAATAGTTAAAATGGTGAAGATGTCTAAACTTGAAACTTTGGCTGTTGCAATAGAGATGGCAAAGCTCCAAGAAAAAAACCTCAAAGCTATCCAGAGAATGCAAAAACCTGTCACATCTAGTTTTAATAACCAAAAAACCCACAGTAAAGCTCTACCCCACCCTAAATGGAACCAAAACAACTCCAACTACCCAAACAGATTCCATGATCAAAATGCAACTAGTTAGAGCCAATTTAAGAAAATATCCCCCACAGAGTTCAACTTGAGAAGAGAAAACGGACTATGCTATAAATGTGCTGAACCCTACACTTTGGACCATGTATGCAAACAGTCTCATGTGCATTTCTTATTGGCTGAGGAAATTGAGGTTGCGGAGGAGAGCAAGGGACAGGAGGAGGAGATCTACTGTGACTGTATTAATGGGGACTTGACTGATAAACACATAGAGGTGTCTGTCCATGCTTTGGCTGGGGGAATGGGACACAAAACCATCAAACTAGAGAGGTTGGTGAGAGGTAGGCAGATTACTGCCTTAATAGATAGTGGCAGTACACATTGCTTCATAGATGAGCAGTTGGCAATGGAACTGAAATTGGGGACACGAGGACCTATACTGATAGTAAATGTAGCTAATGAAGAGAGAGTGGGCTCAAGAGGGTTAGATAGGTTATTGTATTGGGAAATACAGGGCCATAAGTTCCAACACCCCTTCAACACCTTGAAGTTGGGTGGCTGTGACACGATCTTAGGAGTGGACTGACTAGCCAAACACAATCCCATAGAATTCAACTTTAAGGAGCTCAACATGAAGATCTGCAAGGGACGACAAGAAGTAGTGCTGCTTGGGAAGAGCACCAACACTGAGCTGAAAATGCAAAAAGGAAGTAGAATAGAGAAGTGGTTAAAGAGGCAAACATATGGGGTGATAGCTCAGTTAGTAGCAGTAGAAGGAGAGGGGAATCCAGATCAGATACCTACTGAGATTAGCCAGATAATAGAGCAATACAGGGATGTTTTTGCAAAACCAAAGGGAATGCTTCCAACCAGGAGCCATGATAACCAAATTGTGTTAAAGGAAGAAGCCAAGCCTTTCCAGGTGAGGCCATACAGGTGTCCATATGTACAGAAGACAGAAATCAAGAAGTTAGTGAAAGAAATGTTGGAAATAGGGATCATACAACCTAGCAGTAGCCTATTTGCTTTCCCAGTGCTGCTAGTGAAGAAGAAGGATGGAACTTGGAGGTTCTGTATGGATTACAAGCAGCTAAATGAATTGACAGTGAAGAACAAGTTTCCTATGCCTTTGATTGAGGAATTGATAGATGAGCTACATGGGGCTAAGTACTTCACTAAGATTGATCTAAGAGCAGGATACTTCCAAATCAGTGTCAAGATGGAAGACATTCAAAAAACTGCCTTCAGAACTCACCAAGGACTTTATGAGTTCAAGGTCATGCCATTTGACTTGACCAATGCTCCTGCAACCTTCCAGAGCCTAATGAACCAGGTCTTCCAAGAACAAATGAGGAAGCATGTTCTGGTATTCTTTGACGACATCCTAGTCTATAGCCCTACCATGGAAATGCATGTCAAAAATGTTACTAAAGTACTAAATATACTAAGGCAGCACCAGCTATATGCTAAGATGAGCAAGTGCACTTTTGCACAGCTACAGGTAGAATATTTAGGACACATCATATCAGCAGAGGGAGTTCAAGCTGACCCTATGAAAGTGGAATGCATGGAGAAATGGCCCAGGCCAAAGAATGTCAAGCAGCTGAGGGGGTTTCTGGGGTTAACAGGCTACTACAGAAGGTTTGTCAAAGGGTATGGAGCCATAGCCAAACCTTTGACAAACCTACTGAAGAATGACAACTTTCAGTGGGGGGAGGGTTCAAAGGAGGCTTTCCAAGAGCTGAAAAGAGCCATGTGTAGCACCCATGTATTGGCTATGCCTGATTTCACCCAACCATTCATTATTGAAACAGATGCCTGCCATCAAGGCATGGGAGCTGTACTGATGCAAAACAGGAAATCCATTTCTTACCTCAATCAGGCCCTGGGACAGAAGAACATGGGATTATCTATATATGAAAAAGAGCTACTATCTTTGGTGACTGCTGTGACCAAGTGGAGACACTATTTAGAGGGTCATCACTTCATCATACATACTGACCATCAGAGCTTAAAATACTTGCTAGAGCAGAGGATCACTACACCTCTTCAACAGAAATGGCTCACCAAATTGCTGGGACTGAGCTATGAAATTCATTACAAAAAGGGAAAGGACAATATTACAGCTGATGCTCTCTCCAGACAAGGCAGGGATGAGGCAGGTGAATGCAAGGCCATCTCCAGTGCAGTGCCTACTTGGATCGGTGAAGTGATGGAGAGTTACAAGGAGGATGTGTGGGTTCAAGGAACAATTTCCCAGGCACTACTGACTCCTACTCAAGTACCAGACTACTCCTACCAAGATGGTGTTCTCATATACAAAAAGAGGTTGGTAGTGGGAGGACAAGAAGATATCAGAAGGAAACTTATCACTGCCTTACATGACTCCCAGATGGGAGGACATTCAGGTATCTAGGCCAGCTACATGAGGGCCAAACAACTGTTCTACTGGCTAGGGATGTACGAAGAGATCAAGAACTTTGTTCTGGAGTATGACACATGTAGGAAGTGTAAAGATGAGCATGTGGTGACAGGGTGTCGAAACCTGTGCAATAATAAAACATGCCCAAACTAAAATTAATTTCTGTAGATAGTAGTAAGCAGGGTCGAATCCACAGGGATTGGGAGTAATTGTTTCTTTTTAAATTCACAGTGACAAGGGGGTGTTTTTATCTCAGGGGTGACAATTTAAACAATCCAACTAAAAGTAAAATAATAAAAATAAAATAGCCAACTAGAAATTAAATAACAATTTACTAAAATCAGAGGGTCTAGCCAAAGAATAACTTCAACAATGGTTCACCTAATTGATCATCGACACAAAGCCAATTACAATTATTTACCAATAAATAGGTTATAACTGCCAAACAAGCGATGACAGTCAACCCCTCCTTACTGTGTCGGTGATTAAGGTACGCCCGTTAATCACTGCTCTAATTGAGAAATAATTTTAGGTACGCCCGTAGAATTTAATTCCTCAATTGCCTTACGTATTAGAGGAGCCCTATTCTAATCAAATAACGCACTACCATGGTTATTTTAGATTAGCCCGCGTATTCCCCTGACACAAACCTAATCATGCCAGTTATCACTATTTTGAGACAATTAAACAATTACGGATTTAACGTCCTAATTGATAATAGATTATCAAATTAACTAATTATCCGGATCCAAAACAATCAATTAATTAAATAACCATGAGCATAGAAATCAGGAAATATGCGGATACCAATAAATAAAAGAAAAAGATAAAATTAAATCGATCTCACAATTTTAGGCGACCCAAAGCATCCGTTGTCCCTTGACTAGATAAAGGGGTTTAATTCATTGTTGATGAGAAAAACCCATACAAAACTGAAGTGATAGTTGCGGCCATTATGTGGTAGGAGGAATTCACTACAGACCGCAAGGAAAAATCAAACAAAAAAGCTACAGGGAAATGATTCAATGCTTCAATGGCTTCTGACATCCGAGAGGCAACTACTACTAAGAAGCAAAGGAAGGAAAAGTCAAAGGTGAAAGCTAAGCTACAGGATGAAAGGCTAAGGAAGCCAGCCGTCTTCAGTCCTCTGCTGCTCTGCTTCTTATGTGCGGCGGCACCCTCCGAAAAGAAGTCTACGGCCCATTCTGCCCAACAAGGGTTCATGTTTTGTTGTTCCAAAAATACCCCTAGGACAAGCTCTATCATCTGGACTCTTTTCCTGTCAAATTAGCACCTGTTATTATATTTTCGTTCTACTCCCTGAAATAAATGTAAAATACTAAAAGTGAGTAGAATCTAATAATTAGTTCACATTGGGTCAGGTAATAGGGAAAATTAATGATAAAATAAATGATAAAATTGCAACCTATCATGTGGCTTACCCTGGACTACTGCAACCCCTCCCTATTCCCCAACACTCAGAGAGCCATGTCACTATGGACTTCATTGAGGGGTTACCAAAATCAGAAGGGAAAGGCATCATAATGGTAGTAGTGAACAGATTTACCAAATATGCTCATTTCATCAGTATAGCACACCCTTTTAATGCTCCAAAGATAGCCAGGCTCTTCATTGATTATGTCAGTAAGCTGCATGGGATTCCCCAGAGCATGCTGTCAGATAGGGACAGGATATTTGTCAGCCAATTCTGGGGGAGAACTTTTTACTATGCTGCGAGCTAAATTAGACTACAGCATAGCTTATCACTCTCAGACTGATGGCCAAACTGAGAGGTGAACCAGGTGCTGGAAATGTACCTCAGATGCCTTACTCATCTAGAACCTAGGAGATGGAGCCAGTGGCTATCTCTGGCAGAGTGGTGGTACAATACCACCCATCACACAGCAATATAGATGACCCCATTCGAGGCATTGTATGGAATTCCCCCTCCCCAACTAGCCCTGGGACCCTACCTGCAAACCAGAGTGGCTGCAGTGGGGGACTATGTCAAGGAAAGGCAGCAGATAGACAACATGTTGAAACAGAACTTGAGGGTAGCTCAGGAAAGGATGAAGAAATATGCAGATGAAAGGAGGAGTGAGAGAGAATTCAGGGAAGGTGATTGGGTGTATCTGAGGTTACAACCATATAGGCAAAGCTCAGTTGCTCTAAGGGGAAATACCAAGCTCACAGCCAAATATTTTGGTCCCTACAAGTTAGAGAAGAGGATTGGGAATGTAGCTTACAGATTACAACTACCTACCACCTCTAGGGTGCATCCTGTTTTCCATGTATCCCTACTCAAGAAAAAGGTGGGTGACAAGGCCACTCCTACCCTCCAGCTACCTGAATTAGATGAGAAGGGGCATTGGAAGGTTGAGCCAGTGGCTGTGCTTGATAGAAGGATGGTGAAAAAGGGCAATGCTGCTGCAGTACAGTGGTTAATCCACTGGTGGGGTACAGATCCTGCAAAAGCTACATGGGAGGAGGCTGAAGGGATTAAGAGATAGTTTCCCAAGTTTCAATCTTGAGGACAAGATTAATTTCCAGGAGGGAGTATTGTAATGAAGTCAAAAGTCAGAAAGTGTGAAGGACAAAGAAGGGAAGGCGTGAGGCTGGCCAGAAGGGTAACTGGGAAGGCGCGATCAGAAACTAGCATTACACAGGGAGAAGGAAAGCGTGAGGGGACTATGAAGAAGGCGTGGATTTGGCAAACGCAGTAGGAGAAGGCGCACCCAAGGAACCACGCTTTTGCTGGGTTCATGCGATCTCTGCTGAAGCTGGGGACCAAACCAACTGAAAGATTCCCTTCGCCACGTGTTGCTCGCCCATTAGCCATTGAGAGTAGTTAGTTAGATTGTTAGTAGTATAAAACGATAGGATCATGTAATGTCCATTTCACTTTTTTAGCTGAAATCTTGCTATTGTAATCAGAGAGGATTTCCTCTTTGTATTTCCTTTCTCTTCAAGTTTCCTACATTCTGTTTTCCCCTTCTACACTTTTCCCGCCAAATCTGATTCTGTATTTTGAAAGTTAATGAATGCAATGAAGGTGTTCATTTGAATTCATTGTGTCTGCAAACCTGCTAAATTCATTTCTGAAGTCTACTTATTTCCATTTCCTGCAACAATTCTGGTTCTATACCACAACAGTTTCATCACCTTTTAGCAGGTTTATATCCAATCATATAGGATTATAAGTTGGGTGCTTTGTTGTTGAATTTCTTTCGAAGAGAGTGATTATTTGCGTGGCTTGCTCTCCATTTTTTGTTGATACTATCAGAATCGTATTCTTCAAACCTATTACAATCTGTGCAAAGTCTCCTCCCATATATTTGAGTGTGTTAAGCTTTTACCTCAACTTTATAATTTGGGTTCTACAGTGCTCCTGTTCTATTTATGCCAAACATCACAAAGCATAATCATTTTTAAGAGGCTGGCTCATTCTTCTGGTTTTTTCACAATTGCTTTTGTTGTAAAGAAGTTGAAGGAATCTCAACCTGCAGTCTCTCGGCACAAATTGGTAAGGGGTCTATGGACAAAGAATTTTCTCACTTCTTTTGCTTTTATTATGTGATTACCGTACAAAAGTATATCGTATACAGAATGATGAGGTATGTGATCACTGTACAAATTGTGACAATGGATCACTTATTCCTCGAGTGACAATGGATCACTTATTCCTCGAGTTTCCTGTTCTGCAGCATCATGGCAGAAGATTCAATCACATTGTTTTATCTTTAGGGGATTTTTTCTTGGCACAAGTTGTTGCGTGGAACTCATTCTTCCATTGCTGGGAAATTGCTTAGATTGGCATTAACTGTTACAACAGCGAAAACTGCAGCCTTGTTCCAATTTTTGTGGCTCATGTCCCCGCTTTTGTGCAAACTATATCGTTAGTGAAGCATAGTTTGTGACTGATTTTTGGAAGGGATTTAGAACGTTCAAGGAGAATTAGTTGGTAGTGCTAGAGCGGGAAAGTGTAGGACTAAAAGAGCATAGATCTGAAGGGGGCCAATTTTGTTTCAAGAGGTTGCGTGCCCTCCTCTCTCTGGGGTTTGTAGTTGGTTTCTGAGGTGAACAACTATAAAGTGTAGTCTTCAACTTTAATGAAATTCTTAATTATTGTCTTCAACAAAAATTTTCTGTTTAAGGCTATATATAATGAAGATTACACCCCTAATTCATTTTACCTTCTGAAATGAAGAAGTTAACAGGACATTATACATCTAATGTCATAATCACAAGTAGCCATAAGAATTTTCGTTTTGTCCATTCCCTAGGCATCTGATAATGAAACACTAAACGTAATTTGGAGCCATGCTTGTCTTACTGAAATAGTTTATTTCTTTCATCTACACACCAAAACAATAGGATGATATGTATCTTTGTTTGTTTACATCATCAAGAAGTTCAAGTATAATAGGAAAATTAAAGAAAGAATAAATCAAACAGCCTCAATTCAATTGAAGCTCTTTGTTTCTATTAAGTTATTCTCTTGCTGCACTGTTACTCTGCTTACACGAAACCTTGGCATGAGGGCTTTCCTCAAGTTCTTTCTTGCTGCCATATTCCAGCCCTCTGCATTCCCTATACAACAAATGCATGCAGAAATTCCTTTACGACAAAATTGTGCTTGCGTTTGAGTCAGCTGGCAGAAATGCTAACAAGTTCGTCTTCCCTTTTCTTGGCTAAACTATCTTTTCAAAGCGCCACTGCCACTACCAGCAAGTTTTGAAAGGAGGAGCATGCAAGCAGAAGAAGTAAATACAGCGCCAGCAAAGCAAGCAAGGTCAAAACCAGTAACCAAAGGTATTGTCTTGAACTTCTCCAACACTCCCACTTGAAGCATCATTATGACAGCTTGCCCGATTTTCGACTTGGCTTGCATTATTGTGTGAATTCCAACTCTTGATGGAACTGCCTGATCAACCAAAAATCAACAATCATCTACGTATCAGAAGCCGTACACTCTTCCACATATACACCTGGCTGCTTGCATTAAGTTTGTTCGTTTATTCTGTTTTGTATCATGATATGTAAGTTTTACCTTTGTTGAGGTTGATAGATGGAGAAACCGTGACAATTTGCCTGCAAGACTAGATGATCCTACAAACATGACATGCATCTCCATTCCGAATAAAAGCATTGTAATTGCAACCAGAAACATGTCTGCAGAGAATTTCAGTTACGAGACAGTATATCTCCTTCATAGCTAGTTCGTTGTGATTAATGCAGAAACGAAAAAGGAAAACCAGAAAGCTATAAAAAGTACAGCTTATAGGGCAACAGTCTATAGAGTTTATACCGATCGCTTCAATTAAGAGGTGGACAAGATGTTCTTGCTCTGACCCTTGAGACAGGGAATGAAAATATTGCAAATATGATTCCAATATCAAGGAAAATCCCTGCAAGTGTTGCTATAACTTCTAAGATTCTTATTTATATTTTCGTAACCTGGAGAAGAAACAGTACTTATGGGTTTGAAGAGAATCAAGAGAACGTTTTAAGTACCTCGACAAAGCATAATCCTGAACCAAGTAAAGATCCTCCAACAGCAAACATTGCAAAGAATCTGCAATCCATTATCACCTGCAGAAGTAGGATTCTTTTTTATATATACCGAAAATTCTAATGACTTCTTAACAGTGAATATTCTTTTCTTGTATCATCAATTTCTAATTCCTATATATACACTACAATCAGAAGTATATCTTTTTCAAGGTATGAGATCAAGTACCTTTTCCAGGAACATCTGCATATGTAACTTCCAAGGTGTTCTTTTATTAAAAAAAGCCAATTTCCTAAGCTGTAGAACTACAAATTGAGCAACATCTGTAAGAAATTGAGCCAAGTCAACCCACATGTCCGTCTTTGGTTTGGAAGTGACAAGGCACCCTGAAGATGAAACGGACACCTTTACTTCCTTGGGAGCCCTTTCACCATGACCAGAAGGCGGCCCAGTGGAAAGCCAATTCGCTGTACTTAAGCCACCGCTGCTGCCAAGACACGTTGCTTTGACAGACCTAGTAGACACCATTGATGAAAATTTGCTGTTATTCGAAGACGAAGAAGAAGGATAGCAAGGCAGACCTAGGGGTCTGGACATTCTGAATAATCTAGCGGATGCCATTATGTTGTGTAGGTTGGAATACAAAGGCAGCTGTACGATCTATATCTCTGGTCTGATAGTTTTCCTTGTAATATTGGTGGAGGAGGGGATTTATATAGTTTCATGTATATAACTGGGGGGATGTGGTAGACACGGAAAGAAGAAGATTCGGAGCATCTTAGCGAAACTTGTCTCCATGCAGGATGAGCTTTTGCTTTGTTTCTTCACTTTTCTTGCAGAGTTGTCTTTTTTCCTCCACAACCCCCCCCCTCCCGTGATTCTTTTAGTTTTCTACCCATTCATACATGGACAATTCTTCAAACTTACCTTGACCATAACCAAAAGAGTGTTACGTTTGCGTCACAATTCCAATATGGCATTTTAAACGATAGCAAAATTTTATAATTTGACACTGTAAAACTACTATTTCTTAACCGTATATTTACATTTACAAGGTAAAAATGATCTGAACTATGAGAAATGCATGATAATTTTATGAGTACTTAATTATAACCAAAAGAATGTCACATTTGCATCACAATTCCAATATGGCATTTCAATTGTAAGACGGAAGGAAAAAACAAATGCATGATAGTAAATGACAAGGAAAATCTTACAATGAAGGGAAAAAATTACATTTTCTAGTTTAATAATAGCAATCAAGAGTTTTATTTATGTGACATACATTGTCATGACTAGGATGTCTTTCACAATTTATATGCTTGCAATGCATTGCATTTCAATGTACATCTACACCACGGTGAGAAAAGTTCCCAGGATCCTGAAAACACTTCTCTCCTTGAGGAATTGGAAGCCTATGAACCAGAAATAAAGTCCTTTAGGAAAAAAATAATAATATTCCCAAGTTTGATAGGACCACAATTTTGTATTAGAGCCTAAAGTCAAGATGTATGTGAAAGTGAAACGGAAGCTCCACCGTCAAAATTTCGAGCACGTTCATGTCTTTTTTTTTTTAAAATATAAAAAAAAATTTTGAATGAATTTGATTTCGATTATCATTATAGATGAAAGGTATATTTCCAAAACTACAGATCATTTGTACAATTCTTCCAAATCACCCGCCAACGCAATTCTTCTCCTCTCTCGCGTCGCGAATGCATACCTAGGCCCTACTACTACTACGTACTACTTGAGGAGACTTGCTGAACCGCGAATCACAGACGTGGAATTTTGCGTTCATTTGGTCAAAATCAGTTTTGCGGGGACTGTCCTGGAGGATTGTGAACCGGACAAGTGGCATTTCGGTATCTATACGCGGACTTGTATTGGTGTGCTGCGCTTTTGGGGGCCGTTGGCTTAGTCTAATGTTAATAGGAGAAGAAAGTGAACGGTAGCTACATGCATATGCGTTCCTTTCTCCGAACGTAACTTTGGGACTTTTCTGTACTTAGCCCACCACGTGCTCGTAACACTACAGTATTATTCTGTGTCATGCAGCCATCTGACTCAGAAGCTTCGCGCTGTGCCTGATTCAATAGTTGCCATTAGGAATTTAGTTGATTATCAATCGACAATCATCAAAGCATGCTGGCTTTCGGGGTTAAGAGTAAACTTCCAACGAATTCAGCTCAATCGAGAGCTTGCTCAAAAATTGAATGAATTCGAACTTGCTTTGATCATCGAATTCAAGTCAAGTTCAAACAACTCAGATTAGTTTGACAAGTTTGAACTCGACCACACACATGAGCTCAAGTAACACTGCTCAAGCTTGATTTGCACCCCGTTAATCGATTTACTCATCGATTGGTTGATTTAGATACTTCTGAGCTTCTGCATGGTTGCTTTTGCGAAATTGATTGATCATTCAGGTAAAGATAAACAGAGAATGAATGACAAGAGATTGAATCATGTTCGCTATTAAGCTCGATGGTGAGATTGTACATGAAAAGTAAGAGGACTGCTTTTTCCAGAAGGGATATTCGTTGGTCATTCCACCAAAAAATTTAAAACCTTGTCAACCTATGGCTGATAATGACCACTGACTTGTTCTCTGGATCGTACAAGAACAATTTGTCTCTTTCTCTTGCTCGAGCGAAAAGCATTTTTATCGTTCATTCTTTCTCGGACGCCGACTTCCTGGAAATTTGTGTGAAAACAGTGAACCAAGAAGTAAACAACTGCGGACTGCCAAAATTGCCAAGTACCCTTAATAACCTGTGACAGGAAGGGAAGAGGCACTAAGCCTAACGCTCGGATTGAAAGAAGTTTCCGCGAACTACCATACAACACTCCTGAGTTGTCAGCGCAAGAGGAGGGTAAAGTGAAATGATAACAAATCCTCCACATACTTCAATAGTTCTCTGCAACCGGTCTGGAAGGAAACAGCCTCAGGAGAAATGTTAACAATGACCACAGGGAAAACACACCTAATATTTGGAAAGTCACTATCAAAGAAACCAATGCACCATTTCTTTCTAGCAATTGTTGGGTAATGGGTGCATCCTTCATCGCAAACATGAAGGTCTGAATAAATTGAACTGCTCGGGTAAGCTGATAGATCCTGTAAACCTGCAATGACACAGTTTGAGGACCTGAAATCCAAGCTACACCATTCCCTACCAAAATGATATCTTCAATCCATTACAAGAGACTTCACATACCTCAAAGATGATGGTAACTAGGGGCCAGGAGGAAGACTCACGGCTTTCAAGACGCTTTTCGAATAAAAATTGCACCAAACAGCCAGCTAAGAAGGGAGCTACTGCCACCAATGCAGGTAAGCCAAGCACAGGCCAGGTAACATAAACGGCTAAGAGAGGGGCAAAAATCTTAAAGCCCGTAATAAAGAAAACGGAGGTTAAGTATCCCCTAAGCCCTGTTATTAGGCTCCACCTCTTTGCACTAAATTGCAGATATGGCTTTTGGACGTGGTCAGTGACACGCAAAAATGTTGCAAGCCCAATATAAAACGTGACTTCAGAAGCGAGTGATGAAATAATTTCTGCATGGTCAGTCAAAAGGAACTTCATCAAAGCTTGCTTTTGACAATGAAGTATAATGAAACATCATGCAGATGCAACTACAAATCTGCTCCAAAATGTCCTAAGCATTGAAAAATCATAAACAGCGAAGTTAAACCTAAAAAACACAAATAAGAGAACTGCAAAGAATAGCATCTTCCCTATTTCATCTTCTGCCCCTAGACTGAAGGTTATTTGCCTGCAACAGCTGGAGATAGACTGGGTATACAACTATCCATAGAAAGGTAAAACCTCAAAATTAAACTTCATTTCTTCTTAATAGAATGTTTTAATCACAAAAGAGTCCTCTTAGGCAGTACTGTATTCTTTAAAAAAAAAAAAAAAGCACTGGCTTGAATATACTAGATTCTTCCAGGTTGACTTAAAAAAGTACTGAGACTCCACATGCTTTCTTATTATTCTTTTGAAACTATTATTTACATGTCAAACTAGGAAAACTATTTCAAAATGGAGGATATATTTCCAACTCCTACCAGATTAGGCCAGCAAGTGGAGTGGCAGTTTACTGCTCTCCTATTAGCAATACAGCCGGAAGGATGTTTATTTGAATCTAAGTATTCTGTCAATGAACAGCTAATTATTTAACCAAGTTCATAAATCACTGAAGATGAGCACAATTTACAATATCAGCATATTCTACATCTCATTTGGAATCCAAAATGTTTCTGCAGGGTACAACAAAGTGGGATCAGTATAATTTGATTTACCACTCATTAACTACAATATGATATTGAAACTCACCACCCTAATGAAAAAAAAATGTACCTTTTAGAAATATTAACCACCACATCAATCCCTAGACCTCAACTTTCAGCCATTGACTTTAAATAACTTTGATCAAAGGTTAACCTCTAAGCACAATTTTATGACACTTTGTTAAGTCACTCGGAGAATTTTTAATAAATGGTGATGCAAAAACCCAATAAAGTTTGTGCACAGAACAAGATTATCAATAACCTTATCTAAAATGTGTAGTACGAGGCAACAATGAGCAGTGTGCTATAAGTGATTCACACGTACATTGGAATTCTACTACAAACCATCTCCCAAGATACCTTTAGGGTATACATTCCATCTATGCAGTTCACAATTTTTCTTAATCACAGTAATTCAACCCTTTTTTTCCACGAAATGTTAAATAATGAAGAATTATGCGCAGCAAGAACCAGATAGTCATGATGATAATACCTGAGAGGAGTTCATCCCTGAAGAGGTCTTCAACAGCATTGCCAAGAAAAAACCGCGGGAGCACTAAAGATGAGATCAAAGCAACAGGGGCCAATACCCAAACAAAAGACCCTACATTTTCCTCCACAGGAGCTGATACCAATTTACCTTCTTCAACCGATTGGTGAGTGAGCCCCAGAAAAGAAACTGAACCCGGTTTACCACGAAATGGCTCCGACCCGTCAATTGCATTCACCTGCACATCTCTAGGCTCCCTTCGTGGAGACGTCGATGTTCGAGGTAGCTCAGAATTAAGAGCACACAGTGCAGTCCTGCTCCTAAACCTCGATTTTACTGAAGGAATACCCAAAAAAAAAAGGGTGAAATGAAAGAAGAATTTTAGCTTGCATTATAACCAATCCTTTAGGATCACAGCTAATTGAAACAAAATTTACAAGAAATTTTAGACCCCTCATTTGAGCATCTAATTGAGGAATGAGAGAGCATACACTTTAGTTCATTTTGTAACAAAAGAGTTTGCTTTGAGAATGCAACAGAGGCGTTGAGCTGCTTCTTTGGTGCTGAATGTAAAAGGGGAGCCTAAAAATAGAAATTTATTGCAAAATTGAGAATTTATAAGCAAAGAAAATAACACAAGGACATAAATTTCTCAACCAAAAATGAAACTACTTACTTTGCGAGGATGAAATGGAGAAGTTACAGGGAATGAGAGTTGATTGTGGGCCCAGCCACACGCTGATTGCAATTCCATATGAATTAAATAGTGGCCGGGGCCGGGGGTTGAAGTAGGCAGCTGATATAGGCTGTGAATTGATGGGTTTAAGGAAGGAGAAAAGGCCGTCCTTAAACCCTACGAACCCCACACACTCCGCCGCGGCTCTTACGACTCTGTTCTTTCTGCGCTCTAGTGCATCGGCTGCTGTAGTTCGCCACGTGTAAGGTGAGTGAGAAGCCACCAAAAATGCTAAACATACAATTACCCCTTTTGTCAGTCCACCTTAGCAAGTGATCTATTAGAACAACATTACAATTGATAAAAATAACCTCCATTTTAATTGTTAAATTTTTTTTTTTTTATGAAAACGGCAATTCTTCATCATGTTCTATAAAGAAGCGACCTCCAAAAGTAAGTTTTCGAATTTCTTTCGATCATTCATCACATGAAAAAGTCCTCTCTCCTTCTTTCATAAAAACATTTGCAACTAAAACAGGAGAAAAAAAACACACGATATGGATATGGAAGATCCAATCCAAGAAATCCCTTTTGGATTATAACTTCAAGTTAAATTTACCATTAAATGGTGAAATAAGTATTATTGACTATTAGATTATAGTAACAATTTCAAAGGATTTCGAAATTTAGACCATTATCCTTATTGAGAATAAGGAATGAATGGTACTCTAAAAAAGGGGAGAATTTTCCTATTACTTATTGAATTCTAATGACAGAAATCAAGCTCCATTAGGCCCAACTGCATCAGCAAGGAGAGGACCGGCCAGGTCCCATATTGGTAGACATGGCCCAATACGGTAGCAACTCCGACGAAAGTTGATACCTACTGCCCAACTAAGACGATTAATTTTAAGTTGCAATTTGCAGCGGTCCCTCCTTTCAAAACTTTATGGCAATGGTCCACACTGCAAAAGTAGGTCGAATGTCTAGAAATATTACTAAATTTTAAAAATATCTCAATTATAGAGTGTTTTTTATGGTTCCAGAAGGACGGGGGAAATATTTTTTTAATCCACATACACAATCACGACATGTGGCGACTTTTTTTCTTTTCTTTTTTTTTTTTTAAAAGATTTGAACATGCAAATGCGGCGACCCCTCTTTTTTTTTTATTTTATTTTATCAGACGCCAGATGCTTTTATCTAGAAAGAAAGTTAAATTAACTGTACAATTAAAATTAAAAAATTAAAAAAAAAAAAGTAAACAACTACTCCACATTTGAAGAGACGCGTGTTGCATGTCGTCCACTACTTCATTATTGTCCCTTTTTCTCTTTCATAAAAAGATATATGTTTGCCAGTGACCTGGAAAAATTGACATTTGACAATCACCTGTCCTCAATCCTCTGATTTTACGAGTCTGAGAGCTGGCCTGCCCTTAACGGAAAAGAAAACACGGGCGATTTTGGAAAAGCATATTTAGGTAGTCAACCCAATAGGGGAAAATTGTTCAAAAGGGACAGGACGATGGAAGAGAAAGGGGCACAGCTAAATAAGCCAATCTACTCCACTGGTTCTTAATTGGGATAACATCCAAAACCTCCCCGGAGGTTTCTCCTAATATCACTTGATACCTTTGAAGTTTTTGAAATATCACTTACCTCCTCTAATAAATGTAAAAAGACTATATTAATCCTAACTTGATACATAATTCACATATCAAATAAATGAATGTCAAATTTTTTTTTTTAAAAGAAAAGAAAAGAAAAGAAAGTCACTTTCTTCTTCTTCCCTTTCCTCCATCGTTCTCTCTTATTCATTTTTTGGATGACTATGTAATATTTTATTTGTAAATAAATTAAATTTTATTTATCTTTTTATTTTTTGTGATTGTGATAAAGTAGGTTATGATTTATTTGCTTATTTTAAGTTGATTTTGTACAAATTAATGGTTTGGGCAATGAAAAGATGTTGAAAAAAATAGTTCATAAGAAATCGGTTTTGAGCATATAGAGTTAAATTGGTGCAAGTGCAAGTATATTTGTTTTCAAATATCTTTTTTATTTTTTTAAAATTTATATTTTTATGGGGTATAGCATTATCATGTGGTAGTACTACAAGAGATTGTTTTTTAAGTGATGGTCTTCTTGAAATAAACAAAGTGGTTTATAAAATATTTTTATTTAGCAATTGAAAGGGTAATTTAGGATTTTTAAAAATTTTGTTACACAAATAACAAAAGTAAGAAAGGTAAATAATATTTTTAAAACTTTAAAGGCATCATGTGATATTAAGAGAAACCTCAGGGAAGGTTTCTGATATTATCCCTTCTGAATTTATAATTAGATGCTAATGACATTGAAAGCTCTCTCTCTTTCTCTCTCTCTGTATGTATATATTAATATGCAAAAAGTTACGGTAGGTTCTACTTCAATTATTATCATATGGACTAGAGCATACAGTACCGAGAGACTAAAAGTCGCTCACAGAGGAAGAAAAGGTCTGGATTTGAGAATTTGAGAGCCAGTCATTCAGTGCATTTGCAGAAAGTTGGTCCGTAACTTTCTCCCCAGGAATGAACGGTACTGATTTGCACTGGAGAATTAACGTTGAACCACTAAGATGCATGCCCATCTTGCACCAACATGCATTTTGTGCCTCTAATATATTATTATACGATCATCATCCGCCGGTGGGTTGGATCACATGTGAACATTATGCAGCTTCAGCTACCCCAAAGTTCACGAACCTTCCTTCTTTGTCATTTCTGAAAAGTGAAAATGAACGATTCTAAAACCAGCGAAACAAACGAGTCGTACAGGATATATCCACTCCCGTCCTATCCGTTCCACGTTTCCGACGGAAAATATCTACTCCTATCATTTCAATCACTTGGGATCCTCGGTGACATGTTTTCTATGCCAACCCAATACCACCAATAGTGTTGCGCCAAGTGCCATGTTATTATTTACACTTTAATTTTCTAATAATTCAACTTGGCTTGGTTTAACACAAATATAAATAATAATATGAAATATTATTGGTGGCATTGAATTGGCATAGAAAACATGTCACCGAGAATCTCAAGTGCCTTTCAACGTTATATGGACATCCTGAAACGAGGTATCCGAGGAAAACGTGTCGAGGGTACTTCAGATGTTAAACGCACGACTAAAAATACTTCAATAATCATTTGATTATACCTCTAATTAGAAATGCATGTTTGGGCCGTTGCATGAGCCATCATAAAAAACCTAGTAATTGAAATTGGACTTTCCGCACCCTTGCCGACCCTAAAAGCACTTAATTTCAATGATGGAGAAGGCTGAATAATAATTGACAATGGACAAACGATCTCAAAACTTATTTATGGCAATTGAAAAAATAATTTAAAAAAAAAAGTGAAAATGCACGTTTTGAAAATTGGTTCCAGCCACTCAAGTCACCAGCGGTGCAGTTGTTATGTTTCTTTAGCCAATGCAAAAATTTGCTTCTCTGCCAACTGTCAACTGCTTTATGGTTGATCAAAAATTTTCGTTTAAGTAAAAGGAAAGCTAGAGTTCGAGGACTAAGAAACAAATAGGGAAAAAGAGAGAGAAGACAAAATTGCATAAACAAATGATAGACAGGAAAGAAAGGAGAGTAACTGGTTTGGTGTTTTCTGTCCCTTTTGGAGGTTTTTTGGGTTTTTTTTGGGTGCTTGGGGGGGGGGGGGGGGAAGGACTACTTGTTGACATATTAAATCAAACCTAAAAAATATCAATGTCTATATTGTTAGTAATTCTATTGGAATGGAATCAAGTTATGGTCAATTTATTGTTTAGCAATTAATACTTTATTAGGAAATTTCTTGTTGTGCAAGACTTGTTCACCACGCCATCTAATTTATAAACAGGGAGTCTTATTATTAATCAGTTGACCAGATTGAAATTTGATAGCATTGTTATTGTGGTAAGCGATTAATATATTATTGTTGATATTATTATTTTTCTCTCGCAAATATTTGTGTATATGTGTAAATTGCCTTCCCATAAACAATAATTACACGAAATTTTTCTTTTTGGGTTCCACACTACTTCAATGGGGGGCTTTTACCAAATAATCCAATGTTTATTAGAAAATTTGAAATTAGTCTAAATTTTAGATTTTTTTTTTCAAAATAGAGAATTTTTAGTTTGAAAAGGAAATTTCTAAGTCACATTTTCAAGCAGCAACTTTGAAACCGCCATTTAAAAGGGCGACTTTAGGACATAGCAAATAAAAGTCAAAGGGTGATTTAAAACAAATAACCTAAAATAGCATTCTCGAGTGGCAATTTTGAAATCGTTGTATGAGAGAGACTACTAGTGATTTTGAAGTCCCCCCTTTCAAGTACGAAATATCTAGTTGGGGAAGCATTGGAAAAAGGGATAATTTCAGAAACCTTCCCTAAGGTTTCTGACAATTTCACTGAGCCTCTCTTGAGATATAAACATACCTCCCTTATCATTTAAAATGATAATTTTACTCTTAAATATTTTAATGAAATTCTCTTATTTGGTATACTTATACTTAAAATGGATTTTAAAATTATTTTTTCATTCTTTTTCCTTCTTATTCCTTTTTTAAAAATTTTTTGCCAATAAAATTGTAGAACTACTACAATTGTCTCTAGATTTCTATTATAATTAAATGTCAAACTAGTGCTTATTTTTTGACAAGTTAATTTTATTTGTAATCCAATGTTTTTGCTGATTTTTGTTTTCTATTTTTGTTATTAAAATTAACAATAAATCAAAAAGAAAGGGCCTAAAAGCACTACAAAATTATGATAATCCCACAACTCCAAAAATTTATAAACTCTAAATGAATTATTTCAACATTTTCTTTCTATCTTATAAATCTAAATCCATAATAAAATACTATTAAAAATATCATATCATAATAATTAAATTATAATTATAACTGTTTATCAAATAATAGATATGGACTTGAAAAATTTGGCACATTTTCCTTGTAATTATACTAAATAATCTTATAATTGTATAGGAAAATAAATTAAAATAAATTCCACAAAGGCATTTTTGGGTCTTCATTTAAAAAATTGTCCAAGTCAATATTATTTTAAGGTTTTTTTACTAAAACTATCAAATTAAAGGAGGTAAATGTAATTTTTTAAACATTAAGGGAGCTCAGTGAAATTGTCAGAAACCTGAGGAGAGGTTTTTGAAATTATCCCTTGAAAAAATTGGACCACATTTGAAGTTTCCGGTAAAAGCTGAATCATTGAGGTTAATGACCCTGGTTCAGGGT